CTCTTAAAACATCAGAGCTACCGACGCCAGGGAGGCATCTCCCACACCTGGACCCTACCTATCGACCCATCAACTCATGAAAACGGGACCAACTTCCCGAAGGAAGGCGTGATCAGAGATGTTATGCCCATTGGCGTAGCTAATGGGAGTGCCAGGGCGGCCAGGCCCCCTCCAGAATTATCTAGGCCCCCTCACGGTAAATTGTCTAGCTACGCCAATGGTTATACCTCAGAACATCACGGCGGTGCCGACTGGGATTGAACCCAGGCCTGCTGGGGTGAAAGGTAATCACGCTTACCATCAGATTTATTAATTTGAAGGAAATTGCTGAAATTTTAAAGGTGTTCTGAGAAACTCGGGGAATTCCCGAAAACTTGAGAAAAGCACCGAAAATTTTGGAAACGTAAGAGAAGTAACATGAAGATTAGTAAAATGTGAGATCATATTAAGGGAAGTTGCGAGAACTTTTAAAAATTAAAAAAAAAAAATCTAGAAGATCAATACTGATGTTCCATTAATTTCAAGAATATTTTGAAGAATGTTCATGAAACTTCACGGACATTGTTGGGTCTTCAGGAATGATTTATAAAAATCAGGAAGATTACTCAGGATCATTAGAACATGTAAGGAAACCAGGGAATGCGTCCCCAAGAAATCTGTTTCTTCCGAAATATTTCCCCAACTTTTCCTTTAAGTTTCTTTCGACTTATCCGTAAGCCCTCTGAGCATCAACAAACCGACATGAATGTCCATAGCAAAAACAATAAAATTTCTGACCAAAGCACACTACTGACCAGATATGGCTCCGTGTTCGCGGGAAACATTTAGCTAAGTCATGAACCCGCAAGCAAAAGTTATTAATTGGTTCGTGTCTCATCTATTCTGGACAAATTATGCTCTGACTTCAGACTTTCTCCAGAAGTTTCTTCCAATCTACCTTAGGAAGTTTCTTCCGTTTTCTCCAGGAAATTCAACTAAACTTCTACCAAATATATCTCCCAGAAATTCCGTCCGTCTTCCTCTGGAACTTTCTCCATAAGCCATTATCCGTAGGTTTTGTATTCGGCTTCTATTGGAAGGTTTTTCTGAGCTTTTTCTGGCTTTCCCTGGAAATTACTACTACTGGAATATGTTTCAGATTTCCGAATCTTGTCTGGCTTCCTCTGGATGTGTCATCCGATTTTTTTCGTTCCGAAAGCTTCTTTAAATTGTCACCAGAAGTCTCTCAATATTTGTTTTGGAAGTTTCCCGGAAGTTTTTCCGACTTCGCTTAGAACTTTCTTCAAACTTCCTCTTGACGAGCTAGTTTATTCTTTCTCTGGAAGTTTTATCTTCCTTCAGAAGCTAGTTCAAACATTGCCCGGAAATTTCTTCCTTGGAAAGCAAAAGCCGCGCCGCGTCCACATGTAACCTGTGCACGACACAGGTGTAAATTATAGATGTTATGGTCACATTATAGATGTACTTCTTTACTCCAAACCACAAGTGACCATGAATACACTATTTTATTGTGTGACTCAATTAAATCTTCGACCTTGGTTTGCTTTCAAAAGGATTAAATTCAGTTCGGATGGTCTGCCTAATCCCTAATGCATTGATTTCTAAGCATGTCGATATCACTACCATGACAAAACTCGTTAAATAGTGCACCTAAAAGCGAGCTTTTTTTTGGGTGGCGGGTGGTAAGTTTGTGAATGGTCAAATGCCTGATGTAAGCCAAGCAGACCTTCTATCACCTCTTGAAACATACCACAAATTTTCCACGATACATGCGTTTGCACCACTAGTTGTAATTGAAACTTTCAGCAATCACGCGTCAAACGGGAGCAACACGGAAACAGCAGTCTGATACGCTTTGGACGTTATCATACTAGCAGGCCGGTTCGAATGTGTGAGTTTAAATTAGAAGAACATTTGTGATGTATGGGTGCCTTTCTCGCTGTGCACTTGGATATCTGATTGCAGACGAAGAGAGTAATGGAGAAAGAGAGCGCAAAAGCTCGCTCTCACTCTCTTGTCAGCTGTGAATCTCTCAATTACCGATAGTTGCGCCCTAGGCCTAGGCGAGTAAGAGAGGTGACACAGTCCGAAGAAATGGTCCTATCTGCTTTGATCGATTCTCTTCATCGACTTTCTCTTTTCATAACCACTGCTATGCAAACAGATTTCGCGCTAATTCTACCACATAGTTTGATAAAGGAGGTTCTTATCTAGCGCCCAAAACGTCAAATACAACAGGGAAAGGTTTTGCAGCTGAGTTATTAACGAAAGAGAAAGTCGATGAAGAGAATCGATCAAAGCAGATAGGACCATTTGAAATGTTCATCGAGAAGTGTTAGTTTGTTTACTAAAATGAACCATGCCCATTTTGTTATGGCAAGTTTGCTATAAGAAATGCTCCTCGTGTTTATTAGCGAAATTCACATCAAAGATTGATTAATTGCGTAGGAAATCAGTTTGGCACGGCATTTGTGACCAGTATACACCTTCGCGTCGTATGGTCAAAAACTGTCCAAATCCGCAGATAATTTTCTTTGTTTTGAATTTCTGTATGGCGAAATAGTGAACTTTTCGGCAAAAAACTCACCAACACTGGGAGACCGTGAGTTCCTGCCCACCTGTCATTTCCCATCTCGGGCCACGCCCATCTTTACCATAACTAGGGGTAGGGAAGTAAATGTTGATGTTTTACGGAGTTGGAGGTTCGGGTAGGGTATTCGGTTAGGATTTGCCTCAAGTTGGCGATGCAACCAAAATTATATATTGTTTCAACGGCGCCGGTGGTGTAGTGGTAAGCGTGATTACCTCTCACCCCAGCAGGCCTGGGTTCAATCCCAGTCGGCGCCGCCGGGATGTTCTGAGGCATAACATCTCTGATCACGCCTTCCTTCGGATGGGAAGTAAAGCCGTTGGTCCCCGGTTCATGAGTTGATGGGTCGATAGGTAGGGTCCAGGTGTGGGAGCTGCCTTCCTGGCACGTCGGTAGCATTGGTGCTCAGCACGGAAAACAAGATCGACGGAAAAAACAAATCAAAGGAAAAAATATATTGTTTCGATACCCGACTCGAAAGAAAATATTCATTTTGTTTAGTGATTATGCATTTTAAGAGTCATGACGGAGAGCTTTGGATTAAACCCATGATTTTTTTTGCTTAGTAAGCAAAAACGATCCCTCCAGGGTCATCGAGCATCTTATAATCCACTGCGCTTCGCGGCAAAGTACGATTAAGTTCTCTTTAGGTCAATATATGGCTGAACCATCTATTATTGAATAACTATTATTTACGATAATTAAATGAAAGAAATAAGGTCATAAATTTCTCGAAGTTTGAAATCTAGCAAAAAGTTATATGTTCCACGATTTCAGAAATATTTAGATTTTTTTTCCAAATCTTGATTTTTTCACAATTCACAATTTCTCAATATATATAAAAAAAAACTAATTTCCAGCATCTAAAATGTTTTCTTCTGTTACGTGATTAAAACAAATTTCTTTTAAAAAATGTCATGTTTTCTGGGTAGAGATGAACTAGCCTTGGGCTAAAAATCTCTTAAATAAAGAAAAAAAATGTATTTTGGGACATGGAGATTTGTCTTAGTATCGTTCTCAGGATTTTGAAAGCTAACAAATTTTGCAATTGCTGAGCCTAATCTCTCAAATCAATAACTTACCTCCACTTATTTTCTCGTATTTTTGTTTATATTGACTTCTGAGGACATCGACGATTGAGTTCATCATTCGAGATCCAATTGTGAGACCACCAGAGACGAATTATGTATCGTAGGCATTGTTTGATAATGCTGCGTTTGAGTGCATTTCATATGTTCCCATCGATTGTATAGAATAAAAAAAAAATCGATTTCAGGGACTCTGCCTTAATTTCAAGAAGAGATTTTGAAGCTTGCAAGAAAATTTAAAGTTTTACGATAGTCTGGACGCTAATTGGTTTTTCAAATCCCTGCCTAAGTAAATTTTCTAAATCTTGAACAAATGAAGTGCTATTTATTGTAACAAAATATTATGAAGTTATGTAATATGAGATGCGATACTAAGTATATATTTTCTACAATCTACACATTTTTTTTCCATTTGTCCTGCTCATATACCGTTAAATTGATAAGCTACACAGATAATTTAGCTTATCAATTTCAATCCACAAATTGCGGAGAGCAGTAACTTCTTTGCCCATTTTAACGCTGTGCGCGCAATGCTGCGTGATTTACAGTATCCCCCCGCTAATCCGGCTCTCGTTAATCCAACGACTCGATAATCCGACATCACGGTCTCTTATGGAGATTGCCACGCAATGTGTACTAATGTAAAAATGTTACAAGCTTAGAAAACTCTTAATTAACAACTGTGGAAGTGCTCAAAAAACTCTAAGTTGAGAGCCGGCGGACAGTTCCAGTGGGGACGTAAAGCCACTTCGCAGTTTATCGACAGTACCCCTGTGTAGCTTTTTCCGGTCGTGTCGGTATGGACACTTCAGTGTATAGCACAAACTCGGTAGTAGGTAATCTCCAACAACATCAACAAGTCTTGCTCTCTCGTTGCCTCCGTACATAATATTTCAGTTGCTTGTCTGTTGTTGCCTCGAGAAGTTCACTCACAATACGCTGCATCATCGACGGACGAACCGGTTTATTATTCGTTTCTTTTGCTTTCGTTTTTGTTGATAGGCCACCGTAGACTTGATTTACACTTAATCATCGTCTGTTGCTTTGATTATTCATATTCTTCCCAAAGCAAAGTTGATTCCGTTCGTTATCGCTTTATTATACTAGCCAATGGATACGGTAATTATTGTGTGCATAGATGCATTTACTCGGCTTTTAAATTGTTCAAACATGTCGAAATTAACACCAAACCAAGAATTGCTGCCGTTGCATAACACGTGACGTGTAGGTGGCATCACCATTCAGCCACCAGTTGCGCTTGTTTCCATGTCAGTGCTTCACTAAATTGTCTTTCCCTCTGGCTTTCTCCATTACTCTGACAGGCTAACAAAGATGTTGGTTTCCGTACCGAGTCGGACACCTTCGGCGAGCTGAAGGTACCGAACGACAAGTACTATGGTGCACAGACCGTTCGTTCCACGATGAACTTTCCCATCGGTGGACCCACCGAGCGAATGCCAGTAAGTACCTAATCTCTAAGCGATAGAACATGCTCATTTCAACTAAAATATTTCCCACCCTCTCTAATCAGCAACCGGTCATCACAGCCATGGGCATTCTGAAAAAGGCGGCCGCCCTCGTTAACCAGGAGTACGGTCTGGACCCGAAGATCGCCAGTGCCATCTCCCAGGCCGCCGACGATGTTATCTCGGGCAAGCTGTACGATGATCACTTTCCCCTGGTCATCTGGCAGACCGGTTCCGGCACCCAGAGTAACATGAACGTCAACGAAGTGATCAGTAACCGTGCCATCGAACTCCTCGGTGGAACTCTCGGTTCCAAGACCCCAGTCCATCCGAACGATCACGTAAACAAATCGCAATCCTCAAACGATACCTTCCCGACTGCCATTCACGTTTCGGTGGCTCGTGAGCTTACCGGAAATCTGAAGCCAGCCATCCAAACGTTGCACGATGCTTTGAAGGCCAAGTCGAATGAATTCAAAGACATTATTAAGATTGGTCGTACTCACACTCAGGACGCCGTTCCACTAACGCTGGGACAGGAATTCAGTGGATACGTCCAGCAGATGGAATTTGCTCTGCAGCGAATCGATTCTGTCCTGCCCCGTGTCTATATGTTGGCTCTCGGTGGCACTGCTGTCGGAACTGGCCTTAACACGCGCATTGGTTTTGCCGAAAAATGCGCTGCCAAGATTGCCGAACTGACCGGACTGCCATTCGTCACTGCCCCGAACAAGTTCGAAGCGCTGGCCGCTCGTGATGCGATGGTAGAGGTTTCCGGCTGTCTGAACACGATTGCCGTCAGCTGTATGAAGATCGCCAACGATATTCGATTTCTGGGATCGGGTCCACGTTGCGGTTTGGGTGAGTTAAGCCTGCCAGAAAACGAACCCGGTAGCTCAATTATGCCCGGAAAGGTCAATCCAACGCAGTGCGAAGCCATGACGATGGTTTGCGCTCAGGTTATGGGAAACAACGTGGCCGTCACCGTCGGTGGATCCAACGGACACTTTGAGCTGAACGTTTTTAAACCGTTGGTGGTGTCAAATGTACTCAGATCGATCCGACTGTTGGGTAAGTTGTTGAGTTTTTTACTTTCATTCAATTTGTTCTGTAAACTTTTCTATTTCCAACAGCCGATAGTACGCGCACCTTCAGCAAGAACTGCGTGGTCGGCATTGAAGCCAACCGGGCGAACATCGACAAGATCATGAACGAATCTCTGATGTTGGTGACGGCCCTGAACCCACACATTGGTTACGATAAGGCGGCCAAGATTGCCAAAACGGCTCACAAGGAGGGAACCACGCTCAAGCAGGCTGCCCTCAAGTTGGGCTACCTCAACGAGCAACAATTCAACGAATGGGTGCGCCCGGAAAACATGCTGGGACCTAAGTAAGACCGATCAGGTAACGTACCAGTTTCAGTTTTGCCTTTCTTTATTTTATTTCGTTTATTTCAAATGCAAAAAATGATCATTTCTGTATCGTACTGTAAATGGAAAATCAAACATGAATCGTATACAACTGGTATTGAATTATGATATATTGTGAAATCCATTGGACCACCCTAAATAACGTACACTACCCATCAAAAGTATGGAATCTCTTCAGAAAAGTTTGGAATAACTTCAAAAAGCACTGATTCGATCTATTATAATACAGTTTGAATTCACTTCGGTAAGTACTGAACTGCGCTGTGCGGCATACCAATCCCATTAGCATTTTTGGCGAAAATGAATTATACGTCGGAATTGATTGTCAAGTACCATCACTTTACAATGTACACGAAAAATTTCCTACATTGTTTAGAAAATGTCGCGAGAAATACCAAAACTATGTTGTCCCATCTATAAGAGCCCATGTAGAAACAAATCTGCAACAGCGTTTTTCTCAGCTTGCTGTTTTAACAAATGGGACAACTAGGATGCTGAAAATGGCAGTGAATCACTTCTGAAAAGTTTGAAACTACTTTGGAAAGTAATGAGAAGCGGAAAATAACCGGAAATCGAAAACAACTGGGAAGTAATCGGGAATTTGATTGGATCCTTAAGATATTGTATTGTACCAATATTAATCGAATTCTGTTAAAAACATTTCAAGTGCGATATCTTGAATAGTTCTCTTAAAATCTGAAAATTTCTTCAAGCCCGACGTTTTTTACATCTTCTCAGTAGGTACAGCATAGTAAAAATAAGACTAAGGTCTAAAAAAATAGCAATGTTCCAAAGTCTGGTCTGTTTAATATTTTAAAAAATTTGAAATCCTGGGATACTTTCAGTTACAAATTTTTAGAAAATTTCTCCATGTCTGGGATATGTCAGCAGTTCTTTTATTGCGGTACGTTAGAAGCGTTAGGAGCCTATTGTTGTGTATGGAGGTCTCCATACATAACAATAGGCTCCTGACACTTCTAACGTATCGCAGTAATAGGAATGTATCCCACACCTAACTATTACACTTTTCTGAAATTTCTAGCTCTGTAATCTAAATGAGTGTTCTAAGATTAGGATCTCAAACGAAATCTCGGAATTTTAAGAATTTTTGTTAATTCTGGATCACGAACCTTGACAATTTTTCAATGTTTGAATCTACTAAATTATTTCTTAGGGACTCAGCTCTGAATATCTTTGCAAATTCGTCTAGGACTTAGGATCATTCCAAAAAGTGTTCAGAATTACTTTTACTCTAAGGATTTCCTTGGGGGTGCGACACATCTAAATCTAAATCTTAGATGGTCGGAAAATCTCACGTTAGCGAATCAACATACGAAAAATACATACCGTGGTAGAGGTAACAATAGCTGCAACTTCCAAACCTACGACTGGATGCCTTCCTTCAGATAACAACTTGAGTGCGGTACAATCGATAGAACTGTTTCAAACACATCGTTGGTACATGAGCGAGTCAGTGATCATCTCTTTTTGCCAGTGGTTTCGGGGAAACCCCTCATCATCCCTCTCCAACGGGGGAGTTTGGTAAAGAGAGATGATCAAACCGATTTGTACCTTCCTAAAAAAAGTTGTCCTTGCTTGCTTTCACCGAAGACAACAAATCAAAAAGACTGGCAACTTTGCCAGAATCTATTTTTATTTATTTAATTAAATCTTCAACACCATGTTGTACAGATATTTTCTAGGCTAGGTGTCGAATTCTATGTCTGTAAGTAGACTTACTAATGTTAAAATCATATACATCAAACGTTTCATTAAACACACGACAGCACAAAGTCCACGGTTCGTTGAATCCATAGTTGGTCCGATGGGTAGGTTGCCACAGAAGCGTGTAACTACGTAGAACTCTTTGAGGAGCATTGATGTAGATTTGGCTCACAAGAGAGTTGCAATCCACGTCACCGTTAAGTAATCCAAACACGAAGAGTCGCTGAAGTAGTTTCCTCCTTGCTGCCAACATGTCCAGGTCAATCAGCCTGCACCGTTCTTCGTAAGGCGGCAAATTTACCGAATCGTTCCAGGGCAGAACACGTAAAGCGTATCTTACGAAGTTTCGCTGAATGGCTTCGATTCTGTTAGCTTGAATAGCGTGAAAGGGTGCCCACACAACAACAGCATACTCTAGAAGACTGCGGACGAGAGCACAGTATAGTGATTTCAGCGCGTAGATGTCCTGGAATGCGATTGTGTTTCGTTTCAAGAAACCTAATGTGGCGAATGCTTTAGCAGTTATCATGGAGATGTGCTCATTGAATCTGACTTTAGAGTCGATGATAACACCCAAATCCTTAACTGAAGAAACGAAGAGCAAACTACTGAGTCCTATCCTATAGTCATGTCGTAAGGGCTCGCGTGAACGACTAAAAGATATTGCGCAGCATTTTGTGACATTAACCTGCATACCGTTCAATGTACACCAGCGCAAAAGGGCATCAATATCCTTCTGGAGTGCCCAACAGTCAAGTCTTGACTTAATTGTACGAAAGATCTTTAAGTCATCGGCGAACATAAGTTTCGAAGAACACAGTCGACTACACAGATCGTTCACGAACAGGATGAAAATTAAAGGCCCCAAATGGCTACCTTGGGGAACCAAGCGACATATACAATGGAGCTGCGCTTGAGTGAAGGTGGAAGCAACGCTTAGAAAAATGAGCAAATACTCAAACCCTTCTTCTGAGGATGTAATCTTTGCTATCAAATTCGTTCGAAGCATTTACCTTTGAGCGGCAGATGACGCGATTGTGCCTATCTCATAGCGTTCGTATGAGAAAATGGAAGAGTTGCCAGTCTTCTTGATTTGTTGTCTTCGTTTCTATTCTCTATATTTAATTTTCACAATGCCGTAGTCTAACGGAACTATCAACTCTATACTTCCATCTCCTCATCTATCGTATAAAAAATTACCATCTGTTATTTGAAATTAGCATCTTCAATTATGTAAATACGAAAAATCTTTTTTCACCTCTTACATCTTAATCCACCTACTCACATCGCTTTCCATCTTTTTGCAGGAAATCTTCAAAATCTCAGCAAAGAGAAATTTTTCCTGCATCTCAGATAGAGTCACTCCCTTCGGGATTTCCCTTAATAATTCAATGATTCTATCTAGGTATCTCCTAGCAATTTTCTCCAGAACAGTCTTGGAATTCTGTGCAGAACTCCTTCCAGAAAAATGATTTTGGCGAGAGTTTGATTAATATCTGCAAACAATTATCTTTAGAATTCGAAAAGGAATTTTCCTCGAAAATCCCTTGGTATTTAGAATTATGAAATGTATTCTCCTGAAATTTCCTTGGATTTCACCTCTGAATTCTTCTCAAATACCCTTAAGACGATTTTTTAAATAATCTAGGAATTCTTTTGAAACTCTCTTTAGTATTCGCTTGAAATTTTCTTCAGATTCTCTTGGAACACTATTCATAGTTTTTTTTTTAATATTCTCGAAAATTCTTGCAGGAAACTCCTGCAAACTAGCATGAACTGTTTTAAGAATTAAATTTCCATAGGGTAAATTCACTTTGAACGAAAGAGGCTTCGAATTCCCTTAGAATGCTCAATGAAATTCCTTTTGATTTGGTTTAGAGTTCCCTGGAATTCTAATCATAATCCCTATAATAGCCTCTTCAGAACTACCTTACAACTCACCTTCACTTCTCCTTACAATTTTCATTAAATACTTATCAAAACTACCTGAAATTTCTTGTTGAATTCCATTGGAATTCACCTCAGAGTTCCTTTAAAGGTTGAACACGAAAAAATCCGGACACGTTTAAAACGCTGCCATTAAGGCATTTTTTGAGTAAATTTTCTCAAAATTTCATTGAATCAAGCTAACAGTGTATAGAATCACAGTAGGTCAGGATTATAGTCGCTATATTCATAGTATGGTGGATTGAATTTCGATCTATCAAAAAGCGGAACCATTTCAATATATTGTAGACCAACAATTGAAAAGGTATTATCAACTTTTATAAACAAAACGTTGATTATTCTTTCCTCGCCAATCGAAGGTAAATTACCAGCATCTTCGGATAGGGGAAATTTTCCACAACCTAAAGATGGCGTTAGTTTGTGTTTGTGTAGGTGATCCTTTAGTCACGAGAAAATGGTTTCCGAAATTTTGTTCGCAATAGCTGATGTGCTCTTCTCTGTTGTTGGTCGTGATTTGATCGATTGGTTCCGCTATTTGACAGCTCAATTGGTTCCCGGGATTCTATCCGCCAGACTCTGAATATAGCGACTATAGTCAGGATTAGTTAATTTGTTTACATCATGGCTTCACCAGAGCAAGCACGTCGCAATTCGATCCTGCACATTTGAATTTCTCGAAATCCACGGTGTGTGACGTTCTGAAACGGTTCGGGGAAAGTCTGGCCATCGTTCAGAAACCCGGAAGTGGCACATCGGCAAATCCCAGCGGATCCTAAAACACATGCGAAAGTGGTGGGTCTTTTCAAGCGGAACCCAAAGCTGCCATCGAGGGAAGCGGCGAAAAAGACAAATGTTTCGTAATCCTACGTCTAAAAAGCGAAGAAGAGGACTGGATTAAGAAGTTTTAAGGCCCAGATTGTTCCAGACCGGAATGCAAAGTAGAATTTGGAGGCAAAGAAGCACTCGAGGAAACTGTACGAAAATGTGTTATCAAAATATGATTGCGTGGTTATGGACGACGAAAGGTACTGCCTGGCAGTTTACGATCAAATTCTTGGGCAGGAATTGTATATCTCGGTTGACCTGAAGTGTGCCCCTGAAGAATGTAAAATCAAAACAGATCTCTAAATTCCCCAAACATTTCCTTGTCTGGATAGCAATCTGCAGTTGTGGGCTGAAAAACGAAACTTTCGTTACTTCTGTGACGATGATCCGGCAAATTTACCAGAACGAGTGCCTACGGAAGAGACTCCTACTGCCTTTTCTGGAGCAGCATGAGGTAGATTGCCTATTCTGACCGGACTGGTTGGTGGTTGTTTGTCTTTATTAAGATGTTTCCTCGTAGAGTTCGTTTTTCCATCACACCTCGCAATTTCAAGAGCACACATCTACGACACGAGGTGTTACATCTGAA